TCAAACAATAAGCTACTTTTCTAATTACTATTATTTCCTGATTTCAATCACATAGGGCAATTAAATAAATCCTTGCAGCTCAAGAAGTTCTACTGCAAATATTTTTAGTCACCAGTATCCTCTCTTAAAGTGGCTTCAAAATTAATCTGATGATAATAACATTAACTGCATAACTAGTTATAAATTCTTAAAATGTTGAATTCTTAATTTACTAAAATATTGGTCCCTTCCTTCTTCTAACTCAATTCATGTTATAACAAACCAAAATCTGCTCTATGTTGTATTAACTTAAATCTTATGATAGAGTTCCATAAAAAAAAAAATACATTACATCTACCTAACAGCTGCTTCCATAGCTTATACCAACTTCATAGTTAAATATTTACAAATATGTGGAAAGAAAAAGGAAAATCAACAGACAATTTCTTGTTAGAATCTGGGAGGAATCTATTCTAAATTTAAGGCAGATGGAGCAAGACTGAGAAAAATCCAAATATGCCTCATGATCTATTTTTTATATACATATTTTAGATTTCCACAACTCAAAGAAGTATTGCACTACACCTTGAAGTCTCTTCAAAAATAACAGATAAAGATATAATAAAGAAGTACAAGAAATAAAAAGCATAAAAAACCCAAACATATCCATTATAAAGAAAAATTTTAACAGGCTAAAAATCACATATTAAAAGGGTAAAACAACAAAATGCAAACTCTATTTACAAGAATTAAGATGCAAAGATATCAACCAAATTCAAAAGAATATTAAAATAGAATTCGGGGCAAAAGATAAATATGACTACTCTATACTGTTAAAAGGAAATATGAAAATGTGAAAAATTTCTATGTAGCAAATAATTCTGCCAGGGTTGGGGCTCGATCCCCAACAGGGGGCAACTGATAGATATTTCCCTCTCATATCAATATTTCTCTTTGTTTTCCTCTCTAAAAAATAATTCAATAAAATAAAATATATTTATATTTTTTTACAAATAAGCTTTAATACTGTAATCCTAACTCTATTAAAGAGTAAAATTGAAATTTAAAATTATGTGAATGTGAATAAATTTAGGGATAGATACGACATGCTAAACAGTACATTTTCTCTTCTCTTTCCTTCCTAAGAGAGTCTTTTAAACTGTTTTTAATTTACCAAGTTCCTATATGAAAGACCCACTGTTTAATAATCAGGGGAAAAAAAACACATTTACAGCAGGCAGGCAGATTTTAAAAATTCCACTCCTGTGAATTAGTAACTAAAAATTATATACACAAAGATTTAGTATAATGTTTATCTCAGCATTATTTAAAATAGAAGATACTATAATTAGAAATAACATAAATATCCAATAAATAAAGGTTTAAGGAGACAAATGTACTACTCTTTGTAATATTTTAAGCAATAAAATAAAAAATAAAGAAAAAGAAAGGTTTAGTAAATAAGTTACAGTTTCAGACACATTCAATGACCAGAAAAATGTTGACAATATGTTTGGTTAAAATACAGATTATGAAACTTGCATAGGTTATCAGCCCCATTTTTTAAAATAAATATATGACTATGTATACATAGACATCACATATTGCATTATTAAAATGCCTAGTAGGAAACAACAAATGTAAAAATGATTATCTCTGGATGATGCACTGTTGGTGGTTTTTATTTTCTTAACACCAATTTGTTTTCTAAATTCTCCACAAAATGAGTTTGGAAAGTGTGATACACACATAAGAATATCCAGCCCTGGACGGGTGGGAGGCTCAGTTGGTTGAGCACCATTCTGTACGCCAAAAAGTTGCAAGTTCAAATTCCCAGTTAGGGCACATACCTAGGTTGCAGTTTGATCCCTGATCAGGGCATGTATGGGAGGCAACGGATGGATATTTCTCTAATATCGATGTGATGTTTCTGTTTCTCTCTCTCTCTCTCTTTCTCTCTGTCTCTCTCTCGGCCTCTCTCTCTCTCTCTCTCTCTCTCTCTCTCTCTCTCCCTCCCTCTCTCTCTTCCTCTCTCTAAAATCTATGATCTCTCTCTAAAATCACATATCCTCAGGTGAGGATTAAAAAAAATAATAATATATAATAGGCAAGGGGTAAGGAAGAAGGAAAGTTTAAAAATAAAGAAGTCATCTATCTCACTGCTTTGTTTTAGTTGCAGAATTATATTCATTTCAAATTTAAAATGGCACTAGAGGAAGAGATTATTTTATTAATCATATAGGTGTATGGAGTTTTTAAAAACAGAAAAACATTCCAAATGTATGTTTCTAATTTAAAAAATTAAAAGAATAAAGTTTAAAGTAGTAAGAGTATTATTTTATAAAAGTGTATAAATATAGTTAGTAGAAATACCATCTACCTTACTTAGCACTACAGTTTGAAAATTATACTGATTATCATTTCAGCAACAAATATGCCTTTGTTTTATTCTTAGAGCACTCAAAATGCAATTACATTTATTTATCTTTTTCTCCTCTAAAATATTATGTTAGCATTATACTTACAAGTTAAATAGGAAAAATACAAGATTCTTTACTTGTTTTGGGTATTTTTAATAAGTCCATTAAGGTCATTTTTAAAGTTATACAAACACTTAAGGGTCAACAAACAAACATTTCTGCGAATTAGGGCATTCAATAATTAGTATTTATACCTAAAAATCAAAAATTAAGAATGTGAAATAAATTACCAAGAATATCCATACTACTATTCATGCAAATCAATATAATCATTGAGATAATCCTTAAAATTAGATCACTTAAAATTTTTAAATACTATAACGAAACCAGATATTATGCTACCTAATCTTCTTATACTTAGTACATTAAATTAGTGAATCTGACTAAAGCTTTCATGCCATACACGTAAAGTGATTAGAGTATACAATTTCCTGTTTTCCACATAAATAATGACAATGGGGAACAACCTCTTCAACTCTTGAAAGGTTCAATTTTCAGCAACGCCCCCTTAAAGAGCATCTTCATATTCATGCTTTTAACAAGTTAAAACATTTATTTGAAACAGGTAACATGGCCTCTCATTCCTTAGTTGTTAAAAGCTTTTCATCCTTACAACAAACGACTTGAGACCTCAGATTTTGAAACTTGTCAGACAAAATATATCTATAAAGAATTATTTTCTTTTACCCCAAAAGTATCAAACTAAATACTTGAAAATTGATGGTTTCCATTTTAAATGACTGATCTTAAGTTTTTACAATTATATTGTCTTCCACTGATATATTTGACTATAAAGACTGATGCCTGACAAAGAACTCTTAATTTTTTAAAAAATATTTTTATTGATTTCAGAGTGGGAATGAGAGGGAGAGAGAAATAGAAACATCAATGATGAGAGAGAATCACTGATCGGCTGCCTTCTGCAATCCCCCTGCCGGGGATCGAGCCTGCAACCAGGCATATGCCCTTGACCGGAATCAAACACAGGAACCTTCAGTTCGCAGGCCGACACTCTATACACTGAGCCAACCCGGCTAGGGCTATATTTTTTAAAGTACTGAATACATAGCCTTAACTGAGGCTATGAATTTAATATTTTTGCTGGTACAACACCAGTTTTGTTTTTGTTTTAAGTTGCCCCATGAGGAAACAGTAGAAAAAGCCAATGAAATAAAAAGCTGGTTCTTTGAAAATGTCAATAAAATTGACAAGCGTCAAGCAGGACTGACAAAGAAAAACAGAGAAGACACAAATTACTATTATCAAGAATGAAACAGGGGATATCATTGGAGATCCTGCAAACATCAAAAGGACAGCAAGGGAGCACTCTGAACAACTTACACACATTTGACAATTTAGAAGAAATGGGTCAATTCCTAAAAATACAAACTACCTCAACTCACTCAAAACAAAACAGATAATTTATATGAAAGAAACTGAATTTCTAAGTTAAAAGACTACCAAAAGAGAAATGTTCTGGCCCAAATAATTTCATTGGAGAATTCCACCAAATGTTTACGAAATCAACACTAAATCTACACAAGCTCTTCCAGAAAATAAGAAGAGGGAACATTTCCCAACTCCTTGTATAAGCTCAGTGCTGCCAGGACATACCAAAGCCACATACAGTACAAAACAAAAAGAAAATTATTGCTCAATATCCCTCCTAAAGAGAAATGTAAAAATTCTTCACAAAATATTAGCAATTATACACAGTGACCAAGAGGGGTTTATTACATGGATAAAAAAGGTTGGCTCAATATTCTAAAACCAATGTGACATGTCATATTAATAGGCTAAAGAAGAAAAATCACATGATCATATCAACTAATGCAGAAAAGCACATGACAAAATTCAACACCCATTTACAATAAAAAGTCTCAGAAAACTAGTAATAGAAACTTCCTCAAGTAGACTTAAAAAATGTACAGAAAACTACAACTAACATCATACTGAATGGTGAACTCTGAAGGAGTAGCGCAGGCTTTGTGGTGAAGGAAGTGCCCTGTATCTTGATTGTGGGCACAGTTACAGTGATAAAACAGCACAGAATTATGCACCCATGTTTTACCAATGTCAGATCCTGGCTTTGATATTGGACTACAGCTATATATGATGTAATCACTGGAGGAATCTTAGTGAAGTGAACTTGGAACCTTTCCACAACTTCTATAATTTTTAACTTTCTATGAATCTATTCAAAATAAAAAGTTTAAAAAGATTGCTTTCTGCAATTCTCTTCTAGATGAACTGACATGAGTAACCTGAGCAGCATACATGATACATTTATAGTGGCATTTAATTTGGATGAAATCAACCATACTCATTACATTTTAATGAGTATCCACACAACGATAACTCTTGTTACTAACAATGCAAAGCTTAGTCTATGTCAAATTTTGCATAATAAACATCTGAATTTTGAGAACCAGAGAAAACAAAAGAACACAAACTTTTTTTTAAGTTAGCAATTTTTTAATTATCTATCCCTTGGATATGATGCCTGCGTCCCTCTAAGTTGGAGGAAAAAAACAGTCTTACCATAATTAAACTGACTGTTGGACTTTTCACAGTTAATGATGTTAAACCTGTAAGCAACACCTGGCCGCATTCCACTGACTTCAAAGTAAAACCACTGATGATAATGATTACTATTTATATCCGAGTTCAAAATAAGATCATATTCATTTCTGAAAATAGAAAATGAAGAAATCTGATGAAAATGAGAAAAGTATCTATGCACATACAAAATGAGAAAACTTTAAATGACTTACTTTCTAATTTGAATTACTTTGCGCAGATTCCCAGATTCAAATTTGGAGTTAAACTTCAAAATATCTCCTTCTTCTGGAATGATGTAACTAAATAAAAATTTTAAAGTAAGTATAATAAAATACATTGCCTTTAAGCAGGTAAGCAATAATAAATATAAAAACACACTACAGATTAAAAATACACCATTATCACCTCACCTTCCTCATTATTTTGAAACCAAAAAACATAACCAACACAAGCAAAATACAAACTCTGGCTAATACTTATACACAAAAACATTATAATTACAAGTAGAGATTTGTTCCTACATTGATAGCAAATGTTAATAAAAATAAGAATTTGTGCCTCAGTGAATAAGTGTCATTTCTAAATATGTACTAATAATCATATTAAAAAGGCCAGACGTACTTTTTAAAATGCATAAGACCTGTTCTTAGTACTAATAATTCTAACTAAGCAGTTCTGAAGCAAAATATTGTTTTAAATTGAGATAACTACATTATCTATTATCTTCTAATACCCAGAAAGATGAAAATATTATCCTCATTTTACATACTCATTACTTTAGTAAATACTTACTGAGCACCTACAAGATGCCAGATACTCTTTTTGTTACTTGTCTATTTCCCTAAATGAATACAAATTCTTGCTGTTCTGGAGACTACATTTAATAGGGGAAAACTCCAAATAGCTCAAAGATTTTGTTCAAAATCATTTCAGTTAAAAATATGCCACACTAAGGATTCTTGTTCTTACCACATCTGTCTGGTCTGACACAGAATTACAAATGTTGAAATAACTAAGAGAGATAAATAAGGAGATCTGTTTTTTATTTTTAAGAATATCATTTCAACTTCAGTCATTATCCTTTAATAAAAGTCTTTGAAAAGTGCTTTATTGCATAACCAATGGACATAAGACACTGGGGAACAGGGGAGGCTAGGGGACTGTCTAGGGTGGGGGGGAAAAATGGACACATATGTAATACCCTTTGTAATAAAAAATAAAATTTAAAAAAAAAATTCAGACTAAAAAAAAAAAAAAGTGCTTTATTTCCTCCAAATAAGACCAGGAAAATGTGAAATTTTCCAAAATTATTAGAATGTTAAAGGGGAGGGAAAAATCCAGTGAGGGCTAATTAAATTTCTCATTTGAGGATGCAAATGACTGAATAATAGTCACATTCGTAATTTGTAATTTTCTTTTATTTACTTTTTTTAAAAAGTATTTTTTTATTGATTTTTTACAGAGAGGAAGGGAGAGAGATAGTTAGAAACATCGATGAAAGAGAAACATCGATCAGCTGCCTCCTGCACATCTCCTATTGGGGATGTGCCCGCAACCAAGGTACATGCCCTCGACCGGAATCGAACCTGGGACCTTTCAGTCGCAGGCCGACGCTCTATCCACTAAGCCAAACCAGTTTCGGCCATTTATTTACTTTTATATAAACCCTAAAATGTTTGATAGTAGTGATAATCCTAAACTGCAAATGACACTACCACATCAAGCATCACAAACAGTTAGGCAAGTAATTTCAAGATCTGAAACAGATTATAAACAATAAGAGACAACAGAGCATAGCAGGGACTGTGGAGAATTAGCAAACTTGTATTCCTTCTGAAGGGGATGGTAACTTATTGTCCTGAGAATATGAAAGCTAAATATTACAGGACAAAATTAAAGAATTTCATATGACATCTCCACTCTCTTAAGTGGAAGTAATTTTAATTTTTTAAAAACAGCATCAATTTGTGACCTTTACCTTATTAAATCCATTAAAAGTCCACCTAAGAACAAACAAAAGCTTGCAATATATTCAATTTAAATAGATAAACATGATTTTATTACTACATTATCATTATATCCCTGCTAAAAGCTGAAAGTGTAGTGACAGTAAACTAGGTGGAAGTTAAAAGATAACCTTTATCTTTTAAAAATAACACTGAAGTTTTACAGTAAAAATGAAACTACTAAAAGTAAAACAAAGCCAAACCAAAAAAAATCGGACTTACTTTGGGTTATCTAAGTCATATACCACTCGATCTATGATATCACTCTGATGTATTAGCCTCTCAATATCTTGGGCAATTTTTGTCCTGAAATCATAAAAGAGACATTTGACCAAAATTTGCTGATATATGCCACGGCACAACTTTCTCCAAATTAAGTTTTGGATAAAAATAAAGTATAAAACTATAAAAATTTCTTAAAGATGACCATTCCTCTATATATATTTTGTGTACGAAAAAAATTATCACTATATAACAAGACAAAAGTCAGTATTTTTAAAGTCTGAGTTCAAGAAAATAACCATGTAGAATACAGTTACAAGCCCAATAGTTTTTTTTAAAATCTTGAATGTCTATTATGCCTTATTTCATAGAAATTGTGTTGACCCACTCTCTAGCCCTTAGACAAATAATTTTGTATTACATAATAGTAGCATTATTAGAAGCAGTAAAGATCTGAAAAGCCAGAGATTATATAAGAAAGAGATTTTTAAAACCCACCCTCACTGGTATGTAGCTAAAATGCAGTTGGGAACTGGCCTGCACATTCTGCAGAGTCCATTCTCTCTTCTACAGCTGGAGAGGAAATGTGCAGGGGAGGCAAACACTTGTGTCGGGAAGCGGAAGGCGGTCCCTGCAGCTCCAGGATTCTCTAGGCCTGACCTTCCCCTGACTCAGTCCAACAAAATAGACACCAACTTACTGGAAAATTCCTAAAATCCCTGCCACTGTCCTAGAAGATTCAGCCACACAGAGACACCACCATCTTCCCATCAATATTCAAGCCAAGGAACACAACAGTCACCAAAAGTGGTACCAAACTGTAGCTGAAACAGAATAGATCTGGATCAGAAAGCCAGGGGCCTGGAACTGCAGGTAGATTGGTCACGAAAGCCATGGTGGGAAGGTGCCTGCTGGTGTTAGTTAATATATAGCTACTTCTCAGAGTAGAGAAGTTGGTCTGAGAGGGATGTTTCAAGATCCCCAGGGATGCTTGGAACCAGAGATAGTACCTAACCCTACATGAGTTTTCTTCTGTACATACACACCTAGGATAAAGTTTGGTTTATAAAGTAGGCACAGTAAGAGACCGACAACAATAACTCATAATAGCTGCAGCTGTGCTGTGTGAAGGCCATTCCAGCACTCCAAGAAGCCAGCTGCCTCTGGATGGTGCAGTCTGTGATACAAGCAGCAGGTGGCAAGGAGCGGCCCACTCCCACACACCCTCCCCAGCAAAGTCAGTCCCTTCCTGATGCTCTGTGATTCCATGACGTGGTCAGGTGCATTATGCCGGTTTCATTTAAATAAGTAATGAGCTTAGAAAAGAAACAAACTAAGCTCCAAAGGACAATTTCAAAACAATGTAAAATTCCCAACCCAGGATAAAAATTAGAGTAACTTTAATCCAGAGTAGTTTTCTTTCTAAATAACCAGTTTTTGTAAGTGTGCCTCATATTTTGACAATGGTCTCGTTTAGAAGGAAGAAGGCATCTGCAGCTCACCTTTGTACACCATAAGGCCTTTCTAAAATAGGCTCTTTGAATGGAGGCGGAATGTGACCAAAATAATCGGGATAAGCCACCTCTGAATATTCTGGGACCGACTTCGTATTTTTCACAATCTCAATGTAGAGGTCTGAGTCGTGGAGTGTTGGTCTATCAGAGACTTCAACTGATACTTGTTCCACTGATGAAGCAGACTCAGTATCTTCGTCATCCTCGATTTCGACTCCAGTGCAGCAAAGCTTCCCCAGCTGAACTGTTCTTCCCTCAAACAGAACGTTTCCACAAGCAGCCACGTGTGGGCACGCTTTAGAGCACGTAACTACGGTAAGAGGGAGGCTGTAGTCCTTCCTCATTCCTGCAGTAAAACCTGGAGCTGTTTGAGAAGGAATATTCTGCAATGTAATTCGGTCCAAGGCCCTCACAATATCATTGTTTAAGCCATGGACTGATGAAATAGTTCTATTTTGATCACCTAGCGGTTGCTGTAATGTTCTATCATTATCTTTAATATCTTCTTTTGCCAGATCCATAAAGCTAGGTTTCTTATCACCTTCATCTCCTAGGGGAGACACATTCTCCTTCATTACAACTCCTTTTCTGAAATTGCCTGAATTCCCAGCTGCTTCCTCTCCTGCTGTAGGCACAACAATTGGACCACGTACTTTTCCCTCAAATACTAAAGGCTTTGGTTCTTTGGAGATTAAGTCATAGTCCTTTGAAAATAAAAAACATGTTTAATCTTTTATCTCTAAATATTAAAATGTATTAACAAAACTAAGGCCATATTCATTTTATATGCTGCTTCAGAAACCTAAAATTTTAAAGATGGATAAGACAGTATATTTTAATCTTGCTAGCAAAAGACACAGTACAGGGAGGGGCAAAAGTAGGTTTATAGTTGTTCGTATGGAAAATAATACAATAATTAATAAATAATAATCCAATAAACTCTGTGTTTCACATACAACTGTAAATCTATTTTTGCCCCATCTTGTATTTAACTACAACAAAATCCATTACACTTATTTTACTTTTTCTATTACAAAAATAATGCCTATACATAACAAAAACATGAGAAACTTAGAAAAGTAAAAAACATCAAAATCCTCTTAAAGAAAACACAAATTGTTATTCTCTAATTCAACAAATATTTACAAGTGTCTGTTTTGTGTCAAGCACTGCTTCAGGAACTTAAGACCCATCACTTGAAAAACAGAAAACAACTCTTCCCTTTTGCAGCTTACATTCTTCTAAGGACAAAGGAGAGAGGGCTGTCAATACAAGTAATAAACATGTTATAAATATATTTCATGGAATATTATAAGGATAAAGTGTTAATAGCAAAAAAGAGGGGGGGTGGAGTGGTGGGTGCTGGGTGGAGGGGAGGAAAGTGGGGGGAAACAGAGACTTCTGTAATAGTATCAACAATAAAAATAAAGAAAAAATAAACAAACAGGTACCAGGGAAATAACCAAAATTAATTTAACTACATTAATATTTTTTAAAACCTTTTAAGTCTTAAAGATGAAGACAATTAACCTAATAAAAGAGAAACATGCAAATTGACCATACCTTCACTATGCCCCAAGCCACACCCACCAGCCAATCAGAGTGACTATATGCAAATTAACCCAACTAAGACGGCAGCCAGCAGCCATGGAGCTGGAGGAAGCAGGATGCTTGGTTGCCCCGGAGATGGAGGAAGCCAAGCTTCCCGCCTGCCCTGGCCGGCTGTGGCCTCCACTAAAGGCAACAAAGTTTCAATTACAGAAGATAAATAAATCCCAGATACCTGCTTCCAGCCAGCCTCCACTGGGAGCTTGGGTGGCTGGGGGGCCATGGCCAGCCTGCAAACAGCCATCAGCCCCTCACCCAGGCTGGCCACACCCTCATGGGGTGAGGGTCTCCACTGGGGGACTTGGCAGCCTGCCAACAGCCATCAGCCACTCACCCAGACTGACCACGCATCCCAGTAGGACCACCACCCTGAAGGGGGTGTGGCCAGCCTGAAAATGGCCCTCAGCCCCTCACCCAGGCTGGCCAGGGACCCCAGTGGGGACCCCCCCCCCTGAAGGGGCTGTAGCCAGCCTGCAGCCAGCCATCAGCCCCTCACCCAGGCTGGCCACACCCTTATGGGGTGAGGGTCCCTGCTGGGGGTCTTGGCCAGCCTGCAAACAGCCATCAGCCCCTCACCCAGGTTGGCCAAACCCCCCAGGGGGGACCCCCACCCTGAAATGGCTGTGGCCAGCCTGCAAACAGCCATCAGCCACTCACCCAGGCTGGCCAGGCACCCCAACAGGACCCCCCTTCCTGAAGGGGGTGTGGCCAACCTGAAAACAGCCCTCAGTCCCTCATCCAGGCTGGCCAGGCACCACAGTGGGACCCCCACCCTGATCCAAAACACCCTTCAGGGCAAACCAGCCAGCCCCCACCCATGCACCAGGCATATAATAAAAGGGTAATATGCAAATTGACCCTAACAGCAGAACAACTGGGAATGACTGGTCACTATGACACACACTGACCACCAGGGGGCAGATGCTCAATGCAGGAGCTGCCCCCTGGTGGTCAGTGCGCTCCCACAGGGGGAGCTCTGCTCAGCCACAAGCCAGGCTGACAGCTGCCAGAACAGCAATGATGGCAGGAGCCTCTCCCGCCTCCTCAGCAGCGCTAAGGATGTCCGACTACAGGTTAGGCCTACTCCCTGCTGGCAAGTGCACTTCCTCCAAGGGCTCCTGGGCTGCCAGAGGGATGTCTGACTGCCAGCTTAGGCCCGATCCCCCGAGGGGTCCCAGACTGCGAGAGGGCACAGGCCGGGCTGAGGGACACCCCTTCCGCGAGTGCACAAATTTTTGTGCACTGGGCCTCTAGTATCTTCATAATGATAAAAAGTTCAAAAGGAAATCAATTTACATTCATATATAGAAATTAATAAGCCTCAAAATATATTTTAAAAACTGATAGACCTGCTAAAAGAGAGACACATTCACAATCACAGAAATTTCTAAAATATTTTGCACAGTAATTGACAGCATGAGAATAAAACTCCATAAAAACAGAAAAGAAGTTTTCAACATGATTAACAATCTTTTCCTAATAGGCATATAACCACAGGAGACAAGGACACAAGAAATTGTAACAAAATTTGACCATATTTAAAACTATAAAATAAGCCTCAAAAATGTGAAAGAATTATAAGAATAAAGAACTGTGTCCTATTATCCTGCAACAATATGCTAGAAATCAATAAAAAAATGGAAATTAAAAAGCCAGCTTTAACATTACCAATGAATCAAAGAAAAAAATAATGAAAATAAAGTTTCAAAATAAAAATTATAAAAATGCTGAAAATCAATACTTATGTGATATAGCTAAAACAGTAATTAGAATAAAATTTATCACCTAAGAATGTAAATGTTAGAAAAGAAAGGCTGAAAAGAACTAGATGCCTATCTTAACATGGTAATATACACAAAAATATAATTTATAAAAGAACAAAAATTGAAAAAAATCAAGACATGGCAGTGTAAGTATATTATATTACTTAGAAATATGGGGATTAACTTCAAAAACATGCTAAAAGTGACTGTAGGAAATATCAGGTGGGAAAGAGACAATAGTTTCCCTCATTAAACTACACAAAACTGTTTGGCTCTTAAAACTCTGCCCACGTATAACTTTAATAAAAATTTAAAACCACCCTAACCAGTTTGGCTCAGTGAATAGAGCATCAGCCAGTGGACGGAAGGGTCTTTGGTTCAATTCTCATGAGGGGCACATACCTCCACTGCAGGCCCTATCTCCACTTGGGGCACATGCAGGAGGCAAGCAATCTATGTTTCTCTCTGTGTGTCTCTCCCCGTCCCTTCCACTCTCTCTAAAAATCAATTTAAAAATATCCTCAGGTGAGGATTGACGACAAAAAATTTTTAATAAAAATTTAAAACCAAATTAAAAAGGGAAAAAAGAAATAAAAATAAAACAGAACAAAAGTTCATATGGTAGATATCATCACGCTACTACAGATATATGAAAAATGAGCTGTGAAAATGCAGAATTTTGACACCTCCCATATTCTGCCATCAAGAAACAAAAGCAAATAAAACTATAATTGTCACTATGAATAAATAATCATGGCCTTTAAAGCATGGTAAGTTCTCCTCAAAAGTCTGTTGATAATTACTTTAATAATTCCATATGTTGCCTTCAAATGCATTCATTTTGCCTCCCTCTGGCTATGAATAAGAGACTTAGCACATCTGGACACAAAGTGGGTGGTGTTCAGGACTCAAACAAACACATCAAGTAATTTTCACCTTTACTAGTTGACATGCAAATCAAAGAGAAAAACATCATAATATTAATTTCATTTATGTTTACTATCCCATGATCTGCCGGTATTTGGTATGATGATGGCTAAAAAAAAACCTTTCAAACACTTCCTATCTAGAACCAACCAATATAGTTCTTTCTAATATAATTGTATTCATTTTAGAGAGAAAGGAAGGGAGACGGAGGGAGAGAGAAAGACAGAAACATTGATTGGCTGTATTGAGTTGCAACCTGGGAAATGTGCCCTGACCAGGAATCAAACAGGTGACCTTTTGGTGTACAGGATGACGCCTAACCAACTGAGCCACACCGGCCAGGGCTCCAACCAATATTTTTAATTCTCAAAAGTATATCATTTAAGTACCACTGCCTATATGTACTTCCAACACAGACTTCAAAAAATAGAGATGCAGCGGTTCTCAACCTGTGGGCCGCGACCCCTTTGGAGGTTGAACGACCCTTTCACAGGGGTCGCCTAAGACCATCCTGTATATCAGATATTTACATTATGATTCATAACAGTAGCAACATTACAGTTATGAAGTAGCAACGAAAATAATTTTATGGTTGGGTCACAACAAGAGGAACTGTATTTAAAGGGCCAGAAGGCTGAGAACCACTGAACTAAGGGGCGGGGGGGCAATGGGGGGATAAGGACACATATGAAATACCTTAATCAATAAAAAAAAAAAAAATAGAGGCTAGAGTATTTGAACAGCACATTCTTCTACCTAAAATTGAGATAGTCAAGTATCATTTGAAATGATTTCCCAATTATGTAAATAAAAGATACGTGCTATTTCCTGTAGCATATGCTATAGAAATAGAACTAACTCCTCTACATAAAACTTTCTGGCAAAATAGAGGATATGTTAATAATTATGTGCTATCTGAAGTATTTGAAGTAGTTTCTTTTTATTAAACACAGTAAAATGGAATCCTCACTTGGGAAAAAGGATTTTCAGAGGTCTCTCACTTAGACAAACCTGTCTTTACCAAGTGACCATGGACACAGCAAGTCAGACCAAAAATAGGAATCTGCTCTTGGAGCAGCCAAACCGAAGGGCAAGTTGGCCACCTGTTCATAGCTACTAAGCAAGAAACCATCAAGGGTAGTCTATCTATGTGATGAACGAAAAGACGGACATACAAGAAGACCTCGTCATTGTAGCCTACAACAAAAAAGAACTGGCTTGTGAAAGAATGAGAATCAAAATCCTGGCCTTCACACCCATTAAAAAATAACCTCTATTCCTATAATTTTCAATCACATTATATAGTTCTCATGTGCACACAGGGAAGAAATTAATTATTTCTTCACACAATAATCAATTTCTTCCCCCAAATCCCTTTCACATATTTTTCTACTTTGAGTTAGCAGTATTTCTTACTTCTGTGGTTTTATTTTTAAATGGTTCTTATACTGGTCACAAAAGTATTAACAGAGCAGCCAGAATACTTCCTGTAGGTTGATTGTAAGAAAACCAACCTGTATCCTTTCCCAAGTGCCTCTTCTTATTTTCTTTGTCTCTTTTTGACAAATAACCTCTCTTTCATTCCTGCCCTTTTTTTAGCACCCCTGATTTCAGAGTAACTTTCCATACCTCAGACCTATGGAGGGAACCAACATTAGGGAAAGGGGAAGGAGAACAATTTGCTGCTCCTTCTACTGCAGCCAGAGTTCATGAGTTCTCAGAGAAAAACCTGAATAATCAGAACTGAGAAATGTAAACATTAGCTAGTAAGTACTTCTCTTTTTCTTATTTCTACATATGACTGCACATTAAAATCTTTTTCTTTAAGCGACTGGAAATTAAGTGAATGGAATTTAGGGGCATGGAGGTTTGGAGCAAGAGCTAAATAAGTCTGAGATTATCTGATTCAAACCCTTTATTTCACAGTTTAAGATCCTAGGCAATTTCAGATTTATTCAAGGACCCACCACAAGTGAGCAGCACAGTTAAGAATAAGAAACTAGATCTACCAAGTGCTATCATTCAATCAGCTTTACTTGCTGTGTAATCCAGGCTGAATAACTGTATTCCAGTAAATAACTGAGTTTAAGAAATATTAACAAGTCATTCTCCCTATGAACCAACTTCAATTTTAAAGACTTCGAGTTGCTTTCCTCTCTCCCGAACATTCCACAATTATACAATGACCTTCAGGAAAAGAAATTCAGCACGCATAGACTATACATATTTTAAATTCAGCAGCTTCTTAGCTCTCATCTCCCCTTAGTTGAACAAAACTGATATAAAGAAGACTTTAAAATAAGATTTTTTAAATACTACTTTAAAGAATATTTTTAAAGAGTAAAAAACTGTCAATTAAAGTGATAAACCAAAGTGATGAAAAAATTAAAAATCTAGTCCAACAGTTAAATGAGCTAGTTCAGTGGTCAGCAAACTGCGGCTTGCGAGCCACATGTGGCTCTTTGGCCTCTTGAGTGTGGCTCTTCCACAAAATACTGACTTCTGCGTATGGGCCACGAAGTTTCAATCACACCGTACATGCCCGCCCGCACGTTGTATTTTGTGGAAGAGCCACATTCAAGGGGCCAAAGAGCTGCATGTGGCTCGCGAGCCATAGTTTGCCAACCACTGAGCTAGTTCCCTCATTTTATAGATAAGCAATTTATACCCAGAATGTTAAAGTAATTGTCCAATGTCACTCAGAAATGCAATGCTACTTTCATGTTTTAGAAATGAAAATAGTGATTATATACCTAAGGGAGGGGGAAAAACTATTTTATAAAAATCAGTTAAGATGCTAAGTTTTCTATATTTATACCTGAAAATCATCAACAAGCTCAGGGAAAAGGTGTTCATACATTTTAAGTTCTTCTATCGTTCGTCCTGGTTCTTGCTGGGGTTTTAGTTTGTTAATATCTGTTTCAATATCATCATTCTGAAATAATAAAAATGGCATGTCACCAGTTAAGAAAAACCTAAAATTACAGAATACATTTCAGATTTAAAGTTTTCCAAATTATTAATTACATATAATTAGAGAATAATTGCTGAACAACGGGTGTGTTAATTTTACCGTAAATTAAAATTTGCTTGTATTTTTGGGTTGTTGCTGTGTTGTTTTGGTTTTGTTTTTGCCTAAGGTTATTCTAAAATAATATGGTATTTGGGTTGAAGATAGAAAAACTACAGTGAAGATCAAGACTAAAATATGCTCCCCTAATCTCCTTAACTGCCATCATTTTGCTCATATTAAAAGGCACAAAAACTAAATTGAAAAACATTAAATATATGATTGTGTTGGTGATAATCAAACTAATGTTTATTGAGCATTGAAAATATGTGAAACAGCCCTGACCGGTTTGGCTCAGTGGATAGAGCGTCGGCCTGCGGACTGAAAGGTCCCAGGTTCAATTCCGGTCAAGGGCATGCAAGAAATCAAAATATATTTTTTTGATTTCTTACAGAGAGGAAATATTTTTTTTTTTTAAAAAAGAAAGAAAATATGTGAAACACTAGCTAAGGATTTTATATATATCATCTAATGTAATCTTCATAAGAGCACTCTGAGGGGATAGTATTATTACTTCCATTTAACTGAGAAGGAAATGGGTACAGAGAGGTTAAGTGGCTTGCTCAAAATTACCCAGCTTGCCAATAGCGTAGTCAGTGACTCGGAGTCAGCACAATGCACTGCCTCACGAGAGACTCATGACTATCATGCACTCTGTATTCCATGGTCAGCAAAGTGCCCTTAGAAAAGCTCAGTGTCACTATTCACTCTGTTTTTTCAGGGAAAAGAAAAGGAGTGGAAAACAGCCAGAAGTGATTTCTGTAACCCTTTGGGAAAGAAGAGGATATGGTTAAAGGAGACGTATGACCTCAGAGAAAGAGGGTATGTATCCAGGAGCAATGTGATCTCTATCTGTTCAAAGAGCTAATTAATGTACAGCATGATGGGAAGACAAGTGCCAGTTTACCTACTATCTAGGCTAGTCTCTAGGGCCCTCAACAACTCTGGTCTCACACAAATGCAAGCTCATTATTATCTTCATTGGTGACTAAAAAGAGGTAACTGGATATTAATTTTCAATTGGTATTTGTTTTTAATTTTGCATTTATCTACCACATAGTTAACTGCTTATTTTTCTGCCTTAGTCTACTATGCTTTGATCCTTAAAATGTTTTATATACACATACCTAACTATATACATTTCCTATCAATAGCAATTTAAAAGAAAAAACATACTATGTATTTCTCATTCAGGAATTTAGCTATAACTTGTATAACCAATAAAAAGATTTTTTTCATTGCCATATATAATAAAGGCTGGTTTTACTTAAAGAGTATCATGTTAATTATTGTATCAATATTACTTGAACATGTAATTTCATACATCTTAAATTATGCATTGATGAATCAAAAACATATAATTTTCTTTATTAGTATCTAATAAAGTAGACAATGCTTTCAAAATAACAAAAAAATTACAGAGGCATTACTTTTTTCTGTTTACTAGATCAATATTCAATATTATCTTGGGGAAATATAGCCTTACAAATAGTGGCTCTGTACTTAAAAAAAAAAATGTGCCTGTAAATAGTATTAAATCTTCCAATCCATAAACATGTTATAACTACCCATTTCTTCAGATCATCTAGGAGTTCTTCAACTAGTGTTTTGTGATTGTCAAGATATAAACTTTTGTATATATTGTATAAGATATTTACCCAATTAATGACTTGATGCTACTATAAATGGTACTTTAAAGTGTTTTATCATTTCCTACATCTTCATTGATAATGCATATAAATATAATTTTAATATATTATATTTACATACATAATAAAAACTTTTTAATATTGAAATGAATTTATCTGTAAAACAGGCATAGTGAAGAAAGAATGCATTAACCCTTTTCAGACCAATGCATTCAAAGCAACATTATTTTCTCTTTCAATAATTTACTGTCCATAGTCAGCCGTGATAAAAAGATGTGCCTAGAACAAATTAATCTACCATTAACTGTGTCCATTTATCCAATCTTTGTTTTACAACTGTGTATACAATTTATTAAGTAGACTGAAGACAGACATTTATACTAACCTTAAAATTTTGATCTAGATCATCTTCATTTTCAGTTTCATTTTCAGCCTCTAAATCAATATCATCGTTGTCATCACTTTCATCTACTACGTCATCCACTGTGATACAAAATGTGCTATAAGTAAGTAGGTCAGAGGTAAGCATTCCACAACATGCACATCCAAAGGTAGAATGTTATATTTATACATATACATAAAGTATTTCAATTATCAAAGGAAAGTTAAATTAAATTTCTTATTAAAAATGTCTCAAAGGCTGTACCAGGTGTTGAAAAACCTATGAGATAAAGTGAAAGTGTTTTAAAATTTGGAAAAGCACTATAAAAGTGAATGAGCTTTTTGACTAATGTTTGTTTTTTAAAAATTAATGTCTTTAAAAAGTACCACCTGCATCTAGTGATTCTTTACCAAAGAAATAAAATTTAAAAAGTCTCAAGTTGCAACAGCCTGAATAAAGCAACTTGTTTCCTATTTTTGATAAATTTCAATAACCCATTTCATCCCTTTTACAATTCACTTCCCATTTATTTATTTCAGTGACTACCATGTACCATGTATTGTGCTGTGTGCTAGGAATTTTTTTAAAGATGTGGAGCTCAGGAGGTTAAAGAGCAGAAAAGAGTAAACAAGTAGAAGCTGTCTATCTTTAGGCATTTAATATCTAAGAAAATAAGAATTGAGGCTAACTCAATTCATTCATCCACCAATGTTAAATGCACACTTATTATGCCTCATGCAATCTAATGGATGCTGAGGATAAAACGAAGATGACAGTCTATCTTCACAAAACTAGCTGAGGAAGATAAAAAAAAATAATGAAGTTTTGATGTTATGAAGCCTGATAGGTGAGAAAATAACAGAAAACAGGAAAATGGTATTTTTCCTTTTACCTATGCAGTTGCTAATAGGACCTTCCCCTTACATGTCATCTCTGTCATTTTTCGCACTAGAAGTTAGCTTTCCCTGTACATGTGATTATTCTAGACACTGTATAAAGGACATTAAGAGGTATATCCTACCTCCCTCCCAGTGTTACTACCTATCACATCACAGACAAGTCTCACCAGTTTCCTGCCAGTTAAAATTAGCACTTGAACCCCATAATCCTACACTGAGATAAGAAGAGAAAGGGATTCCAATTGCTTTTTTAAAAAAACATATTTTTATTGATTTCAGAGAGGAAGGGGGAGGGAGAGAGAGATAGAAACATCAATGACGAGAGAGAATCATTGATTGGCTGCCTCCTGCACACCCCCTATTGGAGGGATCGAGCCCGCAACCCTGGCATGTGCCCTTGACCAGAATAAAGCCGGGACCCTTCAGTCCATAGGCCGACGCTCTATTCACTCAGCCAAACCAGCGAGGGCCCAACTGCTTTTTTATTGTCCCTCCAAATTGGGCACTGACTCAACTTTGGAGTCAGAGATACTGCATTTCATATTAGGGTGAGTGAAAAGATGACACTCTTCTCAATCTGTTTATATTTCTGCCATGTTTTTCGCATGTTCTACATTTATTTCATGAGAATTAGTTTTTAGATTCAGCACATATTTTCCTATATTTTTAAAATCTGTTGGTAATTTTAAATGGAATGGGAAGAAAATATAAAGTAATTGCTTTTATTTAGCTACCTTACTCAAGTTCCCAGACTTGATTTTAGACTTTTAAAACTTTTAAAGGAAGTTTCTGAATAATCCATTTTAATATTTTGTGCAACTAAACTTTGTACTTTGTGTGGACTAAACTTGTACTTCAATAATTAAATATTCTAAAATAAAATCATAAAAGTGTACTTGGTGGTAAATACCACTAATAAATCTGTGTCAAGAATAAAACTAACTATAATTAGTCAATTCTCTTAAACCACTGATTTCAAATAATGCTTGTAAACATATAAGAGGTACCCTCAAAAAAATTTTTTTCTCAAAAGAAGTGATCAAGTGACAAGAAAATACCTCAGAAATTCTATTAATAGTCTGGACAACTTTCTCTTTTCCATTTTTTTCTAGATCTTAGCAAAAAATTCTATTTTTCCCCAGATTAAAAATTTTAAACTCTTACTTTCTTTACTATGTACCCACAGTATTGTGTGGAAAGTGGCAAATAGTCAACTTCTGATAATTTCATATGTTTATAAAACATTTTTGATGATTGGGTTTTTGGGGGAGGGGGAGTTTTCTGATTAAGTATTTTTAACTTTAAAAAATGAAGTTCATGAAAAAGCTACAAATGAAAGTCAAATATAATTACTTATACATTTAATGTTTACATTCTTATACCTTGAAATGTTATATGAACTACCAAGTGATGGTCCTATATGATGCTTATGTTTTTTCAGTTCATATTTACATTTTTGTAACAAATCCCATCCACTTCCCTTCATTACTAGACCACAATTTCTTATATTTAAAGAAATATTTATTAACTAAAATACAATGTGAACATTTACTGTGTTCATTAAGACCTTCTTTTGCTGGAGAGTTGGATACAAAAAAAGAAAAGTTGACAGAGTCACGCAATCCCAAAAACCACTGAAGGCCAGCCATGAGCATGTGGTCCTACCTTCAGGGGGCAAACTGTAGAGCTGAGCCACAGGTCCAGTCATAGGAATAACTGGCAATTGGAAATGGAAAGAACTTTTAATCGTTGGCAGTGGCAGACGATTTTTAGGAAAACACTTTCTCATTATCAGACTGGAGATGTTGACAAGAGGATCAAGGGTCCTGACTGCCAAACATTCCTGTTGTTTAAGAAAAAAAAGAATGTGCCATTGGTGAGTAACTGAACCAATTTCACATCACTTCAGAAAGTAAGATATTAATAATTTTTAAGAGAAAATATCACAAGAAAACAGTATTTTAACAATGTAATTATAAAATAGCTTTGACTCTTCAGAATTAAGAACCTCATGTGGCAAATTTAGTAGTACTTTACCTTAAATATTTTAACTATGCAGAGATCAGTGCCATCTTTGGTACTAAAAGTCACCAAAGTACTAAATTATATCTATGATGGACATAGGCACATTTAACTAGCTTAGCACTCACTTTTTTAAAAAAAAATTAAGCAAGAAATATAGTAAGAAATAAAAAAGAACATGAACTTGGCTGAACCGTTCTCAAAATTTTATCAGTTATCATGCAATAGCACCTCGAATACATTAGCTACTCAACTATTAAAAAATGGTCTGAATATCAGTTTTAAGTTTTAAGAGTTTAATCTGCTGTCCTAGTATCTAATCTTGCGAAGGTCTAATATATAGGGGATTTAAAACTGTATCATATATCATCATCATCATTATTGACATTTAGATGGCACTTTGATACCCTGTAAAATTTTCAATACAAGTCTTCACATCAGACCTGTCAAAACAGATGAGAAATTAAGGTTCAGCAACGGTAAGTGGCATAACCAAAGTCATCCGCTGCCTATATTAGAAATAATAAAAACAAGTGTATATGATTGATAAGAAAAAAAAAGCTAGGAGTAAACATAAAATGGGTGTTCTTATATCTTAACTACTCTCAAGCAGAAAGAGATTGTCAGTTGTATAAAAGACCAAGAGGCACAGGTAGGATAATTGGCTGGAATTTTCAAAAGGACAGTTTTCTTTCTGATAATCACAGACGACTACAAACAAAGGATTGTGTTGCAACATCCCTATCTCCCATAGCTGACAGTCTTCTACAGATGCTAGAACAAGTCTTACTAAAGGTATTGTCAAGAAGGTTTAGTACAGCAGCTGGCAGAAGAACTAGGAACACTAACTCCAGGTTTCACTTTTGTACCTTCTCCATTTAAAAATGCACCATCCAGAGGAAGACACTGAGAACACTCACAAACAACAGAACTGCATTACCAGCTGTAAAGCATCCATAAATACCTTATGAGGGAAACGTGCAAAACTGAGTATAGCCAACTGCACATCTTAGACCGCATGGCTAAATGGTAGGAAATATGGCTACATGGATAGATTTATGTATCTTGCTTTTACCTGTGGGGATAAAATCTCACACTGCAGATATATGCATTAAGCACTTTCTCCAACTCAGTGGTCACATGTGAGAAATGCCTTTGTTTTCTAATTTTTTGTTAATATATATATCTCTTACTTTTAGGGTATTTTTAGAAGTACTAAGTTTTCTTAAGAACCAACTCATAATATTGACACATAATCACAATAATAGGAAAAAGCTTACTTGTGAAGTGTTATAGAGAATTTTCATCCCATTGGCATCAATAAATGCTTTTCTTCCCAACTTGATATTTGTAACACTTTTTAAACTCTGTAAAATTCCTTTCCGAATGAGCATGTTTCTGTGCCGACTGTCATGACGGTGCCAATCTACATAAATCGTTAAAAGGACTTGAACATATCCTCTGTCTACAGCTCTCCTGGCATTTGTTTCTTTAACAAAAGAAAATTGAGAAAGAATATTTTTTAAATGACCAGAGAAAATAGTAGAAATCAAATTTAAAAATATAACCACACCATTGTAATGAATTGTTAAAATTTTTTATCAAAAAAATGGCAACCACATATTTAAACATTTTTATCTAACAAAATAAATATATCTTCCAGATAGTAAATTATGATATTTTCCAGAAACCTGCCCATATATTGTTTTGTGGTTAATAAATAATAGATATGTGTTTAATACAATTAGGGCTCCAGCTTTTTAAATGTTAATACTAACAAAGGTTTCACATATTTTAAAACAGGATTATACAGACTTTGTTTACAATAAATGGACTATACAAGACTTTAAATTACTAGCTGTGAAAATGGTTTTGTTAAAAGCCATTATCATGGTTGTAACTTCTATTACAAACTTTGTGTGCTTCCACTAAAATTAACTACATTGGGTTGTAGCTGTTATTACAAACTTTGTGTTTCCATTGAAATTAATTGCTTTTAATTATCCCAATTATAGAAATACTAAATGCTAAGTTCAAAATACCTGTAAAACTTTTTAGTAAATAAATATAAGAAGCATTATGTAATTAGGAGATAGTACTTTCTAATCATTAATTTTTAATGTAATGAAAAAAACATTAAAGGGTTTTTTTAATAAATGGTCACATTTATTGGGATAGATTTTTAAAAATCCACAAATCTGACCTATTCTATTATTTTTAAAGTGTTAATATTTAAGATTATTAACCAAATGGGTGCATTTAACTAAGAAGGCAGCAAAGGAATCCTATCACAGCAACATCTTGAACCACCCAGCATCACCGGGTGGGCCTATTATAAGAGCACAAAATAAAGTGGAATACAACCCATCTTAGGTTGTACAAAGAAATACCAATCCCTCCTGGCCAGTCTTGCTCAGTGGTTAAACTCTGACCTATGAACCTGGAGGTCAGGGTTCAATTCCAGTCAGGGCACATGCCCGTGTTGCGGGCTTGATCCCCAGTGGGAGACATGCAGGAGGCAGCTTTTCAATGATTCTCTCTCATCATTGATGTTTCTATCTCTCTCTCTCCCTCTCCCTTCCTCTCTGAAATCAATAAAAATAATTTTTTAAAAAAAGAAATACTAATCCCTTCCTAATCTGAATTTACCTATAAAATGACCCCCAGCCTCATGACATGGACACTAAGATAATGCAACAGTAAAGCTCCATTGTTTTTAGTTGCCTCAAAGAATTACTAGTGCTAATATATAGCTGAAACATAAGGTTTAAGACGGTGAAATCAGCCTTACTGATGCCTTCTCAGAAATTATGCTCTTACATGAGGAAACTGGAAGAAACTCCCAGGGTGGGGAAGGGGTGGGGGTTCTTATCCAAAAGCTTTAAAACCTCTATAGCAGTGGTTCTCAACCTTCCTAATGCTGTGACCCTTAAATACAGCTCCTCATGTTGTGGTGACCCCCAATTTCATTGTTACAAATTGAACATAACTAAAGCATAGTGATTAATCACAAAAACAATATGTAATTATATATGTGTTTTCCGATGGTCTTAGGCAACCCCTGTGAAAGGGTCGTTCGACCCCCAAGGGAGTCGCGACCCACAGGTTGAAAACCACTGCTCTATCATGATTAGAAGAGCTAGCTTTGCTAAAATTGTGCCTATGTGCAGTATCAGTTAAATAGTTTTGACTAGCAATAAATAGTTTCATGTATTTTATTTTATTTTTATTTTTTTAATTTCTTTAAGTTATTACATATGTGTCCTTTTTCCCACATTACCCCCCCAAGTTTCATATATTTTAAATTCATATACACACTTTGTTTATTCCAGTTGGCATATATAATAGTAAGCCTTTAACTTACTAGATATGAATATGAGTTTCTTAAAAAGACATTATGGTCATTGTAACTCCTGTTCCAAACTATGTCTCCACTGTAATTCTCAATAGCCTAAGTGGTATTTATGAGGAATATTGAAATTCTTTATTAACATTCAAATAAAACAAATTTGCCCATAACTCAAACACAGGTACTGAGTGACCCTAAAGAGAAGGGTACAGAGTAACCTGCAACTGAGCACAATAAAACAGTTTAGTAAAGGGGGTTTTATTCATGTGTTCAGGACACTTAACTTACGATCAGCCTACGTCTCTTCTCTCGCTACTTAAAATGCACTTAGGTTTCCCTATACACTGCAGCATCTGATCTATACCCCAGCGATGATAACTGAGCTGCCTGTCTTTCTGCACTCTGTATATACATTCTTTGCTTTATACTCTCTCAGGTTTATTACAATAGTTTAATTATCCTTTTAAAGTAAATTAGTGTCCACCCACAAAAGAAGTCAATGACTAAGAATGCTCCAAACGCCATAGTACATTTAAAAATATGCCTCTAGTTTATAATACTAACACCTAAGGTGATTTTTTTAATTAATAAACCATTACTTTGCCAAATATCAGATTTACCAATTACTTATTTGCTACTATTCAAATAAAGAGTTCTGGTCATTCAAATTTAAGAAAAAAATTGGTCTGCCCTTGATAGTTTGAGGGGAAAATAACATTAAAAGCCATCAATATAGCTTTTTGGGACTAAAATGTTATTATCGTTAAGTAAATGTTAATCAATCAATGGAAATATGGGTGCTAATGAAAATTATTATTTAAAATGGAGATACTGAGTATCTTGGTGAGAAGAAACATAACGTAGATAATCACTCTTCCCAGGCATCATAAGACACATTTACTCCAACGCCTCAGTTTTGAAGATAGTCAAATAGTTTGTCAATTAATTTAGTAAACTGTAAATTTACATCAGTAGCCATCTGGATTCATGGTAGACATAAAATTTCTAATAAAAGGGCTCTAAATTAAAATTATGTATGCTATACATAGAGTAATAATTCAAGACAGTCTTCACAGTAAACATACTCAATACCATGTTTACTTTACTTTAAAAAATGATACTTACATAATATTTACATATTACTTTCTTCTACTAACAGGGCTTTATGTTTATAGTAATCACTTAGAAAAAGGAAGTCAATGTATTTTAATAAATTATAGCTCAATAAACATAAATGACATTAGTTATGGCACATCCAACAACCGTACTAAAAGGTAAAATCAACTTTGACATTAAGTAATTATAAACCAGCTTTATAACTATAGACTAACTCTACATTTCCAGTTTAACACTGCAGATAAAATACTCAGAAAAATATTGTCTAGAAGTTCTAGTATTTAAAAACTTACTTGATTTTAGCAATGCAGCAAGAGTGTCTAAAGCAACCCTGTCGACATGAGAAAACACAAACAACAACAAAACTAGTAAAATTAATCTACAATAGTAAATTCATACAATTTTTTCAGATAAGTAATTATTATCTATTCCAAAAGCCATTCCTGTTATAGTCAATTACATATGGCGTTTCTCTGTATATATTTCTCCCTTAAGGTTAAAACTGAATACAGGAAGATTGAAATATCAACAGAAAAGCACCCCAAAAAAATTTTTAAGAAATAAAAAACAGGAGAACATTAACAATACCTAAGTCGTTATATCAGAGGTTAGATGAATTAAACCAGTTGTTGTACCTGTATCTGATCCTAGCAGAGTTCACACAAAAGCATTATTAAGAGTCACAAAGAAATTAAAAACAAGTTTCACACAAATAAAGTTCATAACTATTAAATTCTATAGATATTTGAAGCTGTCTGACTATAAAGTATTTTAGCCCTATCAAGCAATAATCCTAATATTTAAGGTAATAATAAATACAAAATACTGGAACTAGAAGGTTGGGTAAGAGGAAGGAGGAGCCTCTTAACATTTTTCAGTCCTAAGGCACCAATGAGAATAATGAACCTAATTAATATCTCAAAAACTCTTACTGCCCATCAGAGAATGAAAACATAGCCCCAAAACTGAAGGTACTTACATTTTCTTTGCACATAAACACTCAGTTACCCACAGTAAAATCAACTGCCATTAATCAGCTTTAAACATACACATAAACATTACTATGAAAACCTATAATTCGAACAGTTTTTTAAGGAAGAGTTACTGAAGTAATGGCACTTAATTTCAGTAGCTTTAAGAATATAAGGCTACATGTTACATACAGTTCCTCTTAGTAAGTTTCCAACAATTATATTTGCATAAAAATATGTACAGTTAAACTTACATATTTCACTCATCATTAAGCATTTGTTGAATGCCTACTAGATACCCACAAAAGCAGGTTCTTCATGGGTATAAAATTAGAAAACAAATTTGTCTTTCACAGATAATTTTACAATCTAGCTAATGTAGTAAAATGTACACATCTGTGCAAAAGCTACTCAAGAAGTTAAAACCAAAAACAAAGCTGCATACATTAGTGGTAAAGGAGACACAGCATGACCAGATGAGAGTAACGGTAAAGAACATAATTAATTAGAAGACTGGAGATGGGTACTGGTTCATAGGAAAACCTGAAACAATAATCCCAAGGCCACAAACGAGAGCACCCATGTGATGATGGAGGCAGAGTTTGAAATATTGCAGCTATAAGCTAAGGAGCACCCAGGATTGCCAGCAATCCACCAAAAGCTGGGGAGAAACAAGGAAGGATTATCCCCTAAAGGACTTAAGAGGGACCACTGGCTCTGCTGACAAGCTGATGTTGGGCTTCTACCTCCAGAACTGCGAGACAATAAATTTCTGTTATTTTAAGCCACCAAATTTGTACCAGGTACTTGGTCACAACAGCCCTAGGAAACTAATACAATCACTTAGATGCAATCACTTGCAATGAATTCATAGGACTTTCCCATCTACAGCTAAGTCTTCATTCAAACTATAAAAATCATAGAGTACTTTAAAAAATAGCTTTTTCTCCCTGTTGGCAGCTGTTTGCAACACATTTGAACCAAATCAAAGTGCTTCTGACAGTTTGCAATCCTTGACATTTATTCTTCAAGACTGACACAACTGGAACATGAGCCCTGTTCTTTCTGACTCCATGCTTGTTCCACAGTTCCACTAGATTAAAAAAAAATTATGAAGTTTGGTGCAAAGTTGTCTCAATACTTTTACCAACATGTTATTTAAATGGTATTTTTTTAAAACTTCAGTATAAAGGATTTTCTGAAATTTTACAGCCACACTTATAAGCCAGTAGGAATTTGTAATATAAAAATTACAAAAGAATTTTAGAAGAGATTTTTTGAAATGCATAATTTGTATTATGTTAACTGATTAGAACTCCTCAGTACCAATATTTTATTCTTCCTCACACATGTGTTTTTCCAATCTTCATATGTCACACACAATAATACAACCAGCAATGGCCTAGACAGCGGCCTGTGGCTTATCTATTTAGGAGCAGTAAAGGAAGAAGAACTTAACCCCCAGTATTCATGAAGTTACGTTAAGGTGGGGATCAATCCTTGCAGTAATCTCCAAACCTGTTGTAACTTGAAAAGACAGAGTTACAGTAACTTCTGGAGTTGCTTCCTTCTGGATTAACAGTACTTAAATCCAAAACCTAAAGTTGGAAGAAACGGAAATCCTAAAGGGAAGCAAGACCTTTCAAATATAAATAATATCCCTCAATCTTCTTCCATGAAATTCAGGGCATTGTTTAAGGAGAAGAAAATTAAGGGGGAGGGGGCCCAACGGTGATAAAGAGATCAAGATATACATGCTTGGTCAATGAGTGATTTTTCTTTTTAAAGTAAAAATAAAGCTCAAGATTTTGTTTTTCTTTTTAAAATACAAATAGAAAAGAATTAAGGAGTAATTTATGTAACAATACCCCTTTCTCAGAAGTTTAGATTCACTGATTTCTACATGGTTTTGGATATATTCCATGTTGCAGATCACAAAGATATTGTGAAATGTTACTCCTAGGGACATTTTACATTAGAGTTGGTAACTTGGTTACAATAGAATAATGTAGACTGTAAGTAGATCAAAACCATTAGACAAAAGATAAATAATAAAATACTTTAAATATCAAGGGAGAAAATGGTATATAAATTCAAAAATAAAGAATGTACTTTTAGTATTCATATGCACGATACCACATTTCCTACCTAAATTAATTACATTGCTTTAATAAAAGCATTGTGCTAATTGGAGGAATCATCTCATTAAATCCTCACACCAACCCTATGATGTACATTCTAATATTACCACCTTACAGACAGGAAACTGGGGCATAATAAGTTAGGTAACTTACTTTGTATCATGGAGCCAGTACACAAACCCATTCTGCCTACCTCCAGAGCCCACTAACTACACTACACCAAGTTGGTTTTACTAATTGTGACACATCATTGTCTTTGTCTTGTTATATTTCATCAGATGCTCTAAGACTGTATATGATCTTTGCACAAGTTTGTTAAGTTATCCCACCAAGTAATATTTAATAAATGATTATATGTGCAAGTAAGTTCCCATTTTCAAAAGAATACAAGCTAAAATATTTTACCTTTACTAAGAACGGGTAAGAAGACTGAAAATGTTCTGAATCTTGTTAGTAGAATTTAATCAAATAGTTAACGTGGACAAGTTCTACCTTATAAAAGAATCATAGCTAATAAAAGCAGGAAAGAATGAGAAAATTAGCAAAGTCAATGATCCGGACAATGTAATGAAATATTGCTAAATTACTAGGTGAAAAGTAGATGGATTACATCAACTCAATGATCTTAAGTGATGTGAAATAGAGTGACTAGCACCACCTATGAAACATTTTTTTATTGGAATAAAAAGAACCCAAATCTAATCAAGCCTCTAGCTCTATCAGTCTACATAAAATTCGAGGGATATACCTACATGTTTAAATGACCCCAGGATACAGTCATCTTAATCCACAATGCTGGGACATTCTATAAGACAGCACCCAGGTCCTTCAACAAATAACAAAACAGAACCAAAAAAAAATAGGGGCACTGTTATTGATTTCAAAGGATTATAAGACATAGTAATCAAATAGAATGTATAGACTTTATTTGAATCCTGATTTGAACAAGCCAACTGCAAAAAAAAAAAAAAGATTTCTTAGATAATCAGAAAATATCAGTGGATATTAAGAACTTATTAATATTGTTGGGCAAAGACATGATACTGTGGTAACACTAAAAGTAAAAAGCTCTGTGTCTGATAGCAATCGCACACAAGAATTTACAGAACAAATGTAAAGGCTGATATCTATTTTAAAATATTCTGAGGGTGGAGGCGGGGGGACAACTAGGAAGGGAAAGATGAAATAAAAATGACAGAATGTTGATTTTTGTTGAAACTGAATGATGGGTAGGCATATCAGGATTCATTATTCAATTCCTTCTATTTTTGAGTAGGTTTGGAAATTTCCTAAGTATAATGAGGAATAATGTGTGTACCTTGGATTGGATCCCAATTCAAACAAGCCAACTGTAAAAGGGCATACTGAGACACCTGGAAAACCTTGAACACAGACTGAATTTTAGATTATATTAAGGAATTAATAATTTTGCTGAGTATGTTTACAGTATAGTGGTCATTTTCTAAGTCCCTATTTAGTAGAGATATACTGAAGCTCTCTTAAGGGAAAAATTAGAAAATATCTGAGATTTGCTTACAGAAATTCATATGACATTTAGGATTTGCTTTAAAATAACCCAACAAAAATAAAGCGTGTAAGGAAATAAACAAAAAAAATGGCAGAGTGCTGACAACTGCATATAATAAGTAATTAATATAACTATTCAAGACAATTAATTAGTTTACTGTAATGTAAACTCTATGTATATTTGAAAAATTCCACGTAAAAAATTTTTTGAAGTATGACCTCTAATATGGCCTAAGAAAATACGGCTTTTTTTTATTTTCTGAGGTTGAAAGACCTATAAATGTGTGTGTGTTTTTTAAAGAATGACATTATTTTGAAAAAAAAAAGTATAAATTAAAAATATGTTCAGATAATTGTGAGAATGAATGACATGGTCATTAGAAGATTGAAAAATTGGTAGGGAATATAGTAGGCACTCAATAAATGTTTCTGAGTGAATAATAATCTATAAACCTTTTTTTCCTCTTATAGTATCTAGAAATTTTCAAAGTCTAAATTTCCATAACACTATATTCAATGAATTTAAAGTTTTCTAATTTTGATATATTTTTAAAATTAAACTTTATAGTAAAGAAAATCCTTATCATAATAAAATCACTATCTACAATTTAACTCTACTGTTCATTGTACAGATCAAGATGATGAGACCCAGAATAACAAAGGATATCTCTATTTACACTCAAAACATTTACCTACTTCATAAGACCCGAATTCTTCTTACTAAATGGTCCGATGGTTTTAAACATCAGTTCCACAACTCCATTTTTCCCTAAGGATACTGAATTCACAGCTGGGAGGGGAAGAAAACATTTTAAACGATTTTAAAGATTCGGTAAGTAGGAATGTACATATACTTGGTGAAACATAGTCAAAATATATATTAATTGTTCAGTAAATATAACTCATGTTCCCTCATATAGTCCACCTTAGCCAATCACTTAAAGGTATAATTTTTTACTTTATTTTTAGGGGAAGTTGCAGGAAAATCTGAAAGAAGTTATAGAAAACAGTAAAATATTACTTCTAAAAAAATACTTTTAAGTTGCTTCATTTGTTTCTTCAAAAACTCTACTAAATACCAGGTCATGGGGATTGAGAGACAAAAATAAGGAACAGTTTAGAGGAGAATGACAGTAACAGTAAACAAATCAATACTAAAGTACTTTTTAAATAGATGAAGGGTTACAGGCTATTTAGATCACAACAGTGAGGAGTCCCTAATTCTTAGTGAAACAGAAGGCATTTCTGGAGTAATGGATGTCTGGGCTTGGTCTCTTTTTTTTTTTCAATCCTCACCCGTGGATATTTTTCCATTGATTTTTAGAGAGGGTGGAAGAGAAAGGGAAAGACAGAGAGAAACATGGATGTGAGAGAAACACATCGATTGGTTACCTCCTTGCACACACGCTGACCAGGGCCCAGGCCTGGGAGGAGCCTGCAACCAAAGTACGTGCCCTTGACCAGAATCAAACCCGGGACCCTTTGGTCCACAGGCTGACACTCTATCCACTGAGCCAAACCAGCCAGGGCTCTGGACTCAGTCTTTACAAATGAGGAGGAGTTAGCTAGGATGGGAGTTGTAGTAAGGGGCGGAAGTGGCTGTGGAACATCTCTGGAGACAGAAACATAGTCAATGAACACAGTGGGTATGAGCAGTTAAACATATAGTATCAGACAAAAGCGTTCTAATGAGAAGATGAGCTGGGTAAAGCAAATTATGAAGAACCTTAAAAGTTGTTCATTCTTTCAGCCATAGGGAATACCCCCCCACACACACACACACACACAAAAAAAACACAACAAAACAAAACAAAAACACAATTATTGGAAAATAATAGATTAAAAAAAAGTGTGTGAAATAGCACCAACAGATAGTAAATAGATAAAACATACATTTTAATAGTCCTATATAATAAAAGCCTAATATGCTAAGTGTCTGGTCATTCAGTCATCCATTCAACCAATCAAAGAGTAATATGCTAATGATATGCTAAGGCTGCTCAAGCGCTGGCTATGACGTACACTGACCACCACCAGGCATACGCTCCGACCAGCATGTTAGCTTGCTGCTGGGGTCCAGCTGATCAGGACTGAGTAAGATGGGCTGGACACACCCTGGAGCCCTCCTGCGGTCCCTCCCTCGCTGGCCAACCTCCCACATCTTTTCCTGGCCCCAATCATGCACTGGTGGGGTCCCTCAGCCTGGCCTGCGCCCTCTCGCAATCCGGGGCCCCTCAGGGGATGTCAGAGAGCTGGTTTCAGCCCTATCCCACTCAATTCAGGAGCTGCCCCCTGGTGATGAGTGCACTCCCACAGGGGAAGCAACACTCAGTCAGAAGCTGGGCTCACTGCTGGTGAGCGCAGCAGCGGTGACAGAAGCCTCTTCCACCTCCACGGCAGTGCTAAGTATGTCCTACCATTGGCTTAGGACATCCCCTGAGGGCTCCCAGACTGCGAGAGGGCACAGGCCGAGCTGAGAGCTTCCTCCACTCCCAAGTGCACAAATTTCGTGCACTGGGCTTCTAGTGTATGGATAAAAGCCAGAAGAATGTACACTAAAATTTTTATAGTGCAAATATGGTTGTTTTAAAATAAGATCTGCATTTTCAAATACAGGTCAGACCTCACAGCACACTGGGGAAGGTACATTTGAGAGACATCAGGCGGCTGCGTGCTAGGTGACAGGTGATGAGGACCTGAATTAAACAGGTGTAGCAGGGGAAAGGTTCCACACAGAAGATGCAAACAATTTACCTAATCAGAAAATTGTGCCTAACATTTTCAGCTCTGAACAAATATTATTTTAAAGTTACAGATAAGCCATTTACTAGCCTTCTAGTGGTTAATTCAATAAAATGCCACCAAAAATATAACTCCTAACGTTTTGTACGCTGATTTTAATTTCCTCTGCATCCGTTTAATATTCCATTATCCCTTCTAATTTTGTCTGTGCTGTCTTGCTTCTTCCTTAATTGCAGTATTCAGTGGTTTATTTTATTTATTTTTCATCCAACTGTTTTATTTTTTGGGATCAGTTGGGGGGGTTTTATTTTCTACGTGTGTGGGTTTTATAATTTCAATTTCAGATGTTTTATTAACCACCCCAATTCCTAATCAAGAAATAGAAAAAACCTATGGGTTTGGGATCTAATATGAGTGAGAAGGAGAGAGACAGAGAGGGAGGGAGGGAGGGAGGAAGGAAGGAAGACAGGAGGGATACTTCATCTGAGGTTTTCTCTTGGTAATCCCTCTTCTTTCCAGTTTCCTCAGGGGCTCCTGTACTACTAACTTGCTGTTCTGCTACTTCCCTACTGATTGCCGAAGGTAATTAGCTCCAGGTGACTACGCTACCACTTGCCTTCCTTCTCAGCTTTCCTCTCATCTGTGAAAACCCAAATAGGCAGGCAGTTTTTCCAGCTGCCAATACCCTCACATTCTTCCACATATTTCCCACGAGCTGCCTACTCCTCCCCCTCACTACAAGCTTTTACAAATTGGAGGAATTCATGACAATTCTCAAGATTTTGCCAATTCTCCTTCTTACCCTATATCACTTCAGTGGTGGTGCAGGTAGGCATTATAAAAAGCCATATTAAATATTCTCTTACCTTGTCCACAAATTTTAGAGTTATGGAGTTAAGGTACTTTTACATTTTCATTTTCTGTAACTTCAAAACACTGAGTTTACTAAAAAATACTCTGAAATACTCACAGTTTGCAGAATATACTCGTAAAAGCTGAAGACAAGGCAAAACCAAGCGATGATTCTGCAAATTCTGTTTGACCAAGTTCAGGGTTATATTCAGAGTTCCATTAATTCTAGCTTTCACTCCAAATTTTTTGTCTGTTTATAAAAAATTAACACAATGTATTTATATGTAACTTTGAGTGAAATAACAATGGCATAAAGCATTGAAATTTTAAAAACTTATATGATGAATTTCTATTACAAATGTAAAGTTGACCTGAAATATCTAAAATTATAATCATTTTCTTGTATGATTTTAAAAGTACTCCTTATATGCCCTAGCCCAGTGGTCAGCAAACTGCAGCTCGCAAGCCACATGCAGCTCTTTGGCCCCTTGAGTGTGGCCATGGAGTCTCAATCGCACTGTACGTGCGCGCCCACACGTGGTATTTTGTGGAAAAGCCACACTCAGTTTGCAGACCACTGCCCTAGCCAGTTTGGTTCAGTGGATAGCGTGTCGGCCTGTGGACCAAAAGGTCCCAGGTTCGATTCTGGTCAAGGGCATGCATCTTGGTCGCAAGTTCCCTGACCCTGGTCGGGGCTTGTGCAGGAGGTAAACAATCGATGTGTTTTTCTCACATCGATGTTTCTCTCTGTCTTTCCTTCTCTCTTTCACTCTCTCCCAAAATCAATGGAAAAATATCCTCGGGTGAGGATAAAAAAAAAAAAAAAAAGTACTCCTTATAACCCTGGCTGGTTTTGCTCGGTGATTAGAGTGTCGTCCCGTGCACCAAGGGTCACAGGTTTGATTCCCAGTCAAGGTGTATACGCATACATACATACTCTTTAGAACAAGCATTTAATCAAATACTTCAAAGTGTAAAACCTATATGCATGTCATAAGACAATGCGAGAACTCAGAAATCATTATTTGAAAAGTTTAGGGGATCATTTTCATCTCTGTGCAGATAGACAACTATAAACTGAAATTAGGTTCTATTCAAAGGATTACTTTTGAGTCAGCTTCTTTGTTTCACATTGTGTTTTCTCAATTTTTGTAATACTTTGCTTTGTTCCAATAATCAATCTTACAACTTATCATACACACACACCAAGAGACACTTGTGATTTTTGACATATTTTTCTTCTTTTTCCCACCACATGCAATGCAATTCCTCATGAATTTATCAGGATCCTCAATTCTTTCAGGTCACTAACTGGGTTTGGAAAGCATTCCATGACTTAAGACCAAGAAAAAGGGTAGCATTCCAGATTTAAAATTTTACCAGCATCAAGGCACAGAGAAGCCATGTCACAAAGATGCTTCTAGGTTTGATAATCATACAAGTGAAATCCTTACCTTTTGGTCCAATCTTTGCAAGAATAGAATGAATCTGCACCATTAACTCCTCATTTGGGGGAGATTCTTTGCTGGCATTCATAAGTAACTGTAACAATATTTGTGAACCACCTTTGGCAACTAAGAAACTAGCTCTTCGACCTCCACCTAAAAGAAAAAAAAATTTTATTTGTTTAAACAGGAAATCTTCCCATAACATATCAAATATCACAACTTTTAGCATTCAAAAAATAAAGTGAAGACTTCTGAAATAAAAACATCAAAATCAAATTTTGTTTTATTTCATTTGTTTTATTTAGAAAACAGTGCAGAGAGTAAATACAAGTGATGCCAAAATTCTATGTTCAGGGCTCTAGTTGAAGGAATACTGGAAAATAACAAAAACAAAGCAACAACAAGAATATGACATATCAGTTTCCAAATTCCAATACCAAAAACAAAGCAACAACAAGAGTATAACATACCAGTTTCCAAATTCCAATACTCAGAATAGCCTCTATGAGTATCAGAAAATTCCTCATAAAGTACACATGCCACATTATTGATCACTATTTACAAACAGAAATTAGACAAAAAAAAAAAAAACTTACCAGCTGACACCAGCTCAACAAGAATGCTTAAGATATTAAGTGTAGTTTGAAGATCTTTCGTGTTCTGAAATAAATAGTTTATTTGCTTTATTAAACCATTGTAAATCTGTAATTCCCAAATTTTTTCTATTCCTGTTGGGAACTATCTATATTTTACAGATGACCTTTCCAATTTCTCTAAGAACAAATATAATGAGGTTTCCACAATTCTCACTTATCACTTCAGTCTCTTCTTGCCCTTAAGAATTTTTACAAATAATCTGTGCTATTACTTTCTTAGTATCAATATTATTAAAAGAGGAATTAATTTGGTATTTGAATTCATCATGATCTACCTAACAGGCAATAAAAATAAATGAATCAAAATATAAAGGTACTACAATGTATATATGGCACCTACCCAGTCACCTAGCTCTCTCAGAAGGCCACTGTGTTATCAGTTCCATGTATCCAGCCAAAGATAATATGCAGATTTTTTTAAATCCATGTAAATATACATGTATACAGATTTATTTCTCCAAATAGCACTGCCCTATATAGATAGTGGTTTGTACAGATATTTTTACATATCAATAAATAGTTTCTTCATCTTTTTAAGGGCTACAGAAAGTATTCCACTATATGGCTAAACCATTATTTATGTAACCAATCACCTATCAATGAGATATTTTTTCCCAATGAGATTTTTAACAATCTTTTGTTATTAAAAAATTGCAAAAGACATATGTAATACTTTCAACAACAACAATGTAAAAGCAAAAAATAAATAAATAAATAAAGTTACTTGGCATTAAAAAAATTGCAACAAAAACTATATATATTTACATGGAATCAATTACAGCTATATGTAGGATAAATTTCTGGAATTTCTGGGTCAAAGAATATGAGTATTTTGATGGATATAACTACATAGTAAACTGCTCTTCACCAGCAATGGAGAAGATTAACTATTTCCCAAAGTCTGGACAACCAATCTAATTTTTAAAAAAAGTTTAAATATTACACATGGTTACATATCTCTTATTAAAAGCAATGGCTGGCCCAGCCTGCATGGCTCAGTGGTTGAACAT